AATCTCCCCTCCCCCTACCGCATCCCAAAACCAGTCCAGCTCGTCCCCGCCTCCCTAACCTGTCCTTCCTCCCACCTATCCCCTCCTCCCACCTCAAGCTGCACCCCCATCTCCTACCGACTAACCTCACCCCGCCCCCTTGACCTGTCCGTCCTCCCTGGACTGACCTATCCCCTCCCTAACTCCCCACCTACACTCACCTTTACTGGCTCCATCCCTGCCTCTTTGACCTGTTTGTTTCTTCTCCACCTATCCTCTCCTCTATCCATCTTCTATCCGCCTCCCACTCTCTCCCTATTTATTTCAGAACACCCTTCCCCTCCCCCTTTTCTGATGAAGAGTCTCGGCCCGAAACATCAGCCTTTCTGCTCCTATGATGCTGCTTGGCCTGCTGTGTTCCTCCAGCTCCACACTGTGTTATCTTTGACTCCAGCATCTGCAGTTCTTACTATCTCACAACGAATTTCATAGTCTATTATTGGGGAATTTTAACCTATTGAACACAAAAAGACCATTCTTACAGAATTAAGAGAGCTTAAAGCAACTTTGGAATTTTTACTCAATCTATTCAGCCTTCTAATATTGGACATGAATATTAGTAAATCCTCAAGAACTCCATAAATCAAAATCAAAGCTGCTTCAGAACCTTAAGAGTAGGTTTATTTGAAATCACAAGCCTTTGGAGTGTAGCCCCCTTCGTCGGGTGAAGTGAGAGAGAAGCACACAAACACAGAATTCATAAGCAGAGAGATCAAAAGATCACACAAATGGTGTGAGTGAAGTGTCAAATAATAAGTCTCTGCAGGTGATCAAAAGAGTCAGACGGTGTGAGTGAAGTGTCAACAGCTGAATAACACAGAAGTGGATGACCTACAGTCCAATTAAATGAGGCAGAGAGATAATTACAAAAAGATTAAAAATAAGGGGGTGCTGGAGACATTGCCCAACAATTGCCAGACAGGAACGTTCCCTCCCAGTCAGGGAACATTTCAACGGTCAAGTACATTCAGCCTCTGATCTTCGGGTAAACGTCCTCCAAGGCAACCTTTGAGATACACAACAATGCAGAATTGCTGATCAGGAACTGATTACCAAGTTCTATACCCATGAAGACTGTCTCCACCATGATCTTGGGTACCTGTCACGCTACATGTGACCCCACCACACTGTTCTGTATCTGTAAAATCTCCCTTACTGTCCTGTTTTGACACCATCACCATGACAAATTGTTATGATCTCTCTACTTAATTAGTTTGTACAGTTTTGCATTACTTCTTACTTTGGTTAGACCCTCAGCATGTGACTCTTATACCTACCATGTTATTCCAGCCATTTGGTTTGTCTCCAATGCCACCTCATTTTTAATTTTTTGTAATTATCTCTCTGCCTCATTTAATCGGATTATCGGTCATCCTTCCCCTGTTATTCTGACATTTTACTCACACTATGACTCTCTTGATCACCTGCAGAGACTTATTATTCGACACTCCACTCACACCATTTGTACAATCCTTTCATCTCCCTGCCCTTGATCTCTCTGCCCATAAATTCTGAGTCTGTGTGCTTCTCTCTCACTTCAGCTGACGAAGGGGCTAGGCTTCAAAAGCTTGCAACTTCAAATAAACCTGTTGGACGACAACCTAGTGTCATATGACTTCTGACTACAGTAGTTGGAGACAGTAGGGTGTAATATTGTGTGACTAGTTTCAGCTGGTTCTCTGGACTGCATTAGCTGACTCAGTTCATGGAAAACTCAAATAACTTAAATTCAAGTGGCTTAGCAGATGCATTAAATAAGTTATGTGGAAGCGGTAGCTGGAAACAGAATTTAATTTAAATCATAATGGAATTAAAATTTATTAAAATTCTTCTGTGATTTACAAATCACCTAATGCCAAAATTAAATGCATTTTTCACAGGTTAGTGATTAATGGTAAAGTGCTTTGGTATAGTATCTATGAAAATTACTTCAAATGGCACTCAGTACATTCATGTTTGAAAGTTGAGGGGACTCTTTGGAATCCACACAAGTCCAGTGAATTTTTTGTGCACTCTCTCTAACACATTCATATCCTTTCCAAGTGTGGTGCCAAGAACCAGATGCTCCAGTTGAAGCTGAATCAATGTTTTCTTCAAGTTCAATATAATTTCCTTGTTTCCTTTTTACTCTTTACCCCTATTGATAATGGTAAGGATGCCATATGGTTTACTGTATGTCCTCTCAACCTTTTCTGGCACTTTCAGTAATTTATGCACATATAAATCCAGATTTTTCTCTTCATGTGCTTCATTTAAAAATATAGCTTTAATTTTATTTTGTCTCAGTGTTCTTCCTACTAAAATTAATCATCTCATACATCTCTGCATTGTTTCACCTGCTACTTGTCTGTCCATTCCACCAACCGGTCACGTCTGTCTGAAGTTCCACACTATCCTCAGTTTTGCATAAGCTGCAAATTTTGAAAATTCTGCTATCCAGAACAGGTCAAGGTCATTATTATATATCAGGAAAAGCAAGCGTCCTAACACTAATCACTGGGGAACTCCAATATAAACATTCCTCTTGACTGAAAATTAGTTCACTATGACTTGTTGTTTTCTGTTATTCAACCGTTCATATCCATATTTCTATCATTCCTTTTATTCCAAGAGCTCTGGCTTTGCAGATAAGTCTGTTGTGCAGCACTTTTTCAAATCCCTTTTGGATATCCATGCATTCCACAACAACAGCATTACCTTCATCAGTCATTTCTCAAGCCTCGTCAAAAAACTCAAGTTAGTCAAAGCAACTTAGTTAAATACGATTAGCTTGTAAATCCAGACTGGCTTTCCTTGATTAATTCATACTTGCCCAAGTGATTATTAATTTTCATCTGAATTATCATTTCTAAAAGCTTTCCAACCACCTCGGTTAAACCAACTGGCCTGGAGTTTCTGGGCTTATGTTTAGACCCTTTTAAAAGCAAAGGTGTACAATTTAGAATTCTCCAGTCTTCTGGTACCACTCCCAAATCCAAGGAAAACTGGAAAATTATGACCAGTGCCTCTGCGATTTCCACTTTCACTGTTTTCAGTATCCTTCCATGCATTTCATCTGATGCTGGTGACCTTTAAGTTACTTGGATCAGAATGCAATGCATCAGGTTATAGAAAAGCTTTAATTTTAGATGTTTAGAAGAGCTGCAGATGGAACAATATCGCTGTAAAGTTAAGTGTGTAAAAGTTAAGCATGAAGTTTGTAAACAATGAAAATGATTTCCAATAAAATCCTAAAATGCACAGCACCAAATAGTGCTGTAGAACAATGGGCACTTATAAATCTATTCTTAATGTGCTCTTGTCTCGGACAAATAAACCTCAATAAAAATGAGACACATTGTTGAATCGAAGCAGGGTAGTGAAATTGGGCTGTGAGTCTTAATTTAACAATGCTCATTTTTATTCAGCTGGCCAATACATTACCAGTAGCATTTGTCATTGTTCTCCAGTAGTTTATCCACCATATGTTCCACTCGCACAAACCAACTTGGAACAGCTTTATAAATCAGTGGGGTTTCCGACCTATGGAGAGACATTAACCCATGAGATTGCAGAAGAACAACAGAAAAAAAAATACTTAAAATGTCGTGTACAATGCCTTTAAGCTTAAAGGGACATTAGCTACTTGTGTGAGTTTACAATTCCCTGTAGCATTCTTCACTGCTTCACACAAGTATGAACCTTCAAGTTACAAATTTCAGCAGACTGTTCAGTCATGAGGAACACCACAGCAAGCCCAAGTCCATCCTCACCGATCATACTTTTATAGCCCTCGCCAGTAGCTGGCTGACTGAACATTTTTCTATCTCCAGTCCAGGAACAAAGCACTACCAACTCTGCCAGCACTTCAGTGAAACCAGCATAACCCAGAGAAAGGACATGGAATTTTGCTACTTAGTACCTTAAGTAGTTCCACTTCTCCACCAAATTTCTCTTCCTCACTAGTATACACTAAATTTTCAAAGTACCAGCTTAGTTTCGTGCTCGATTTCAGGAAAGCAGTGATACATCTGGTAATGCCTTTATTATGTTTATTCTTAATCTGTCACTATTCTCAAAAACAGGCTAAATCAGAATTTAGAGATGTCATTTTCTAATCACCTATGCCATCCTTGAATAATAACAATATTATATGTTTCCATTTGAGTTGCAGTACAGTAATGAAAGAACTTCCAGGAGGTTATCATTGATACACTAAGGAAATACGTAGTTTGCTCCTTGCACTCAAGCTATCAATATTTTATGTCACTATTTAAGGTCCAACTTGCTGCTTACATGTAAACTTATAAATGAATAGTTCAGACAGTGACTTAATTGTCAAGTATCATTGAAACCAAATAGAAAGTAAAATGGTTGAAGAATTATGTTGAACGCGTTAAGTTGGCCTCCTATGTTCAACAAGCAGAAGGAGCAATGAAGCCTGCAACAGTTCATAACAGGCATACAACAACTGGATATCCACTGCAATTCAAACCATAAATCTTAGCCTTGTGACAGCATAAGACCACAAGACATAGAAGCAAAATTAAGCCATTCAGTCCAATGAGTCTGCTCTGCATTCAATCATGGATGATATGTTTCTCAATCCCATTCCCCTACCTTCTCCCTGTTACCCTCATTCCCCTTACTAATCAAGATGCTATCTATCTCTATCTCAAATACACTCAATGACTTGGCCTCCACAGCACTCTGCAGTAATGAGTTCCAGAGTCACATGCTCTGGCTGAAGAAACTCCTCCTCATCTCAGTTCTAAAGGGTCATCCCTTCACTCTAAGGCTGTAACCTTCAGTCCAAGTCTCTCTTACCAGTGGAAACATCTTCACCATGTCTACTCTATCCAGGCCTTTCAGTATCTGTCAGTTTCAATGAGTTTCCCATCATTATTCTAATCTCCATCAAGTATAGGACCCAGAGTCTTCAAACGCTCCTCATATGACAAGCCCTTCATTCCCAGATCATTCTTGTGAGCATCCTGTGCTCCCTCCATTGCCAGCACATCCTTCCACAGATATAGGGTCCAATATTATTTTTCTTTATTCATGCACAGGATGAGGGCGCCACTGACCAGGCAGCATGTATTGCCGATTCCTAATTGTCCAGAGGGCAGTTCAGAGTCAACCACATTGCTGTGGGACTGAAGTCACATGTAGACCAGACCAGGTAAGGATGGCAGTTTCTTTCCCGAAAGGACCCAATATTCCAAATGTGGTCTGACCAAAGCCTATGCAGCCTCAGCAGTACACATATCTGCTCTTGTATTCTAACCCTCTTGAAATGAATGCTAATATTTTATTTGCCTTTCTCAATGCTAACTGAACCTCTGTGTTAACCTTCACAGAATCCTGAACTAGGATTTACGAGTCCCTCAGTGCTTCAGATCTCCTAAGCCTTTTCCCATTTTCAAAATTGTCCAAGTCTCTATTCTTCCTAAAAAAAAGACATAACCTCACTTTCCCAACTGAATTCCATCTGCATATTACTGCTCACAGATTGATTTGCTTTCATTTAAAATAGTTTGGGATGGAGATATATCAGTAAACCAACACACTCATTGGATTAGGGTTGGCACCAGGAGCTAAGTCAGTTGAGAGATGGACAGAAGTACAACAGCTGGTTACTTTCATGTCGGGAGGATTAGAAGCTAAATAAGTACATATCTGTTTTAACTTTTAAAATGAAAGAAACCAGGCATCACCTAAGGAATCAGATCACAGACACACATTGTCCCACTGAACTAGACAAAACACGGAATCTAGTGAGCAACAGTTTCCTTCCAATTTATGCCACCAAAAATGAAAATTAATGGTAAAGGATTTATTTTACATGGTAAAAGCTCAAAACTAATTACATACATACACCAATGCTCATACCATATAAAAACCAAAAGAACTGTGGATGCTGTAAATCAGGAACAAAAACAAAGTTGCTGGAAAAGCTCAGCAGGTCTGGCAGCATCTGTGGAGAGTTCTGAGGAAGGGTCACCGGATCCGAAATGTTAACTCTGTTTTCTCCTCCACAGATGCTGCCAGACCTGCTGAGCTTTTCCAGCAACTTTGTTTTTGCTCATACCATATAACATCATCCTGAAACTTTTCATTCACTTCATTAATATTTCACTGGAGTACTCCAAACAAAATTGTAACTCCATCATTCCTCCCAGCAAAGTTAATGAGAATGACAAAATACAAAGGTCCTTAGTGGATACAGATTTTTCATCATAAAGTCTGTTAGATTCATATGTGAAACATATAAATAGCACACTTAATGTTTAAGTAATACAAAATAGTTGACGAAAGCAAAATAAAATCTGTGCTGTTTCTCAACACAGCAAAACACAAACATTGCATTAGATTTAATGTATATTACCTGCACAGTGTCATGTAGTTATCTCTCCTCACCTATAATTGATGAATGGCAGCTTGGGTGAAGGAATTCATTTACGGGCATTTTTGAACCTGAAATGTTGCCATATTCACAAAAGCTGGATTCTAAAGTTAATTTGAGACTGGCCAATGCAGCAATAATCTCAGGGATGTGTGGGTACTTGTCAGGTCACCAGTTTCATTTCTAACAATTTGGTTTTTAAAAAAGTCTCATCTTAAGGTTGGTGACCTCATGCAAATCGCTTCAAGGAATGCTGGATAGATTGCTAAAGCAATCAGGAAACTTGAGCAAACCCAGCAAAGTACACTCAATTTTGGGGAAATTTTAAATGGGGCCCTTAAGTAATGTCTCAGGTCCCCTTATTAGCATATGCAAAGTGATCAACTCTTACATATGCAATATTCAAGCAAACTGCCAAATATGATAAGAAACATTTATTGTGCCTTTGGGATGTAAAACATTTTTGCCATCATTTCATATCCAAGAAATGGGTGAAACAAGATCCAACTTCATCCATTACTTTTGACAATTACTGGGTAGTTACTAATTACAAAATAAATCTCTGACAGAATGTCGTTCCAAACTGAATGCAGCACCTGAATGTGCCCATAACTCAAAGCAGTTTTCTACAAGAGGAAGGATTTGAAGTTCAGAATTGTGCACTTCAGGTCACACCAGTATTGATCTGCTTAATTGATGTAGATGAGTTGTGTCATTGACTCCAGAGCTTCTGAGGTCCTTGATTTATCATTATGATGCAGCATGTTCAAATTACTTCTTCCAATAAGACGATTAAATATAGGAGCAGAAGTAGGCCTTTTTGCCCATTGATTCTGCTGTACCAATCAATTAAATCATGTCTCATTTGATAATCTTCAACTCAACTTGCCTTCCAGGTTCGTAGTTCCTTGAAGGTGAAGCCGCAGGTAGACAGGGTAGTGAAGAAGGCATTTGGTACGCTTGCCTTTATTGGTTAATGCATTGAGTACAGGATTTGGAAGGTCATGTTATGGCCGTACAGAACATTGGTTAAGCTACTTTTGGAATACTGTGATCGATTCTGGTTTGCCTGCTATAGGAAATAATGTTGTTAAATTTGAAAAGGTTCAGAAAAGATTTATATTATATTCAGAAAAGATGTTGCCAAGGTTGCAGGGTTTGAGCTGGAGGGACAGGCTGAATAGGCTGGGGCTGTTTTCCCTGGAGCGTCAGAGGCTCTAGGGTAGCTTTACAGAGGTTTATAAAATCATGAGGGGCAAAGATAGGGTGAATGGCCAAGGTCTCTATCCTAGGGTAGGGGAGTCCCAACTGGAGGGAATAGATTTAAGATGAGAGGGGAAAGATTTAAAGGGATCTAAGGGGCAACTTTTTTTTTTAAAACGCAGAGGGTAGTGCATATATGGAACAAGCTGCCAGAGGAAGTGGCAGACACTGGTACAAGTACAACATTTAGAAGGTATCTGGATGCGTAAGTGAATAGGAAAGGTTCGGATATCTGGTCGGCAAGGACGAGTTGGACCAAAGGGTCTGTTTCTGTGCTGTGCAACTGTAACTCCATTATTCTCATCCTCATAATCCTCGAGTCCCTGACTGATGAAAACTTTGTCTCTCAGCCTTGAATATATTTCACAAACCAGCTTCAACAGCCTTCTGTGGTACAGAATTGCACAGATTCACTACACCCAGAAAAAAATCCGTCTAATTTACTGCCTTAAATGGGGGACTTCGAGTCGGAGGTTATACCATCTGGTTTTAGACTCCCCCACAAAGGGAAACAACCTCTCCGCATGTAACCCGCCAAGCCCCTATTTTAACTTATTTTTAGTCTATTTTCTCCTTCTATTATTTTTTGGTCATCTGTTATTGGTTTTTAATTTTTCTTTCAAATCCTCTCTGCCACACTGTTCTTTGTTTCAACTTAATTTTATCCTTAACTTTCTTGGTTAACCATGCCCAGTTTATCCCCCTCGTGGAATTTTTCTTCCTGATTGGGATATATCTTTGCTGTATATAAATTGTGAAGATATTTCACATTGGGAAGACTAGAACGCCAAATGCAGTAATTTAAAGGGGAAAATCATAGGTTGCATCACTTCAGAAAATTTGGTATTAATTTTAGTTTATTCACTCTTTTGTA